GGGGGGGGGGGGGGGGGGCTGTTAGTTAAGGGCTTTTTTTTTATCCGTGGAACGCATGGATCGCGATGATAGTGGTTCGGGCTGGTTCAACCAACCTCAACCTACCTCGGAAGAGTGGTCCAAGCGTTCCACTGGAACACATGGAACGCACTGGATCGCGCCAGTGGAACGCGATAAAAAAAGTGATGCGTTCCATTGTGGTCCACTGTGGTTCGGATAAAAAAAAAGCCCTTTAGAGAACTGAGTCTCTGATGTATTCAAAACCTAAAAGACTTTGTTTTTAACTTATGGGCTATTAATTTCATTACTTTGATCTAAGTTTTAATCCATTGTTAGCTGTTCCTTCAACTTCCTTGCGTTATTTATATTTTATTTCAACTATACTTAAGATTCGATCTTATTATCTTATTCTACTGTTTTAGTTGTTACATGACTGTATTCTTGCCAAGCACAACTACCAAATGTGCACCCTTTTTTGTTCGATTACTCATTATTTGTGATACTGTCTTTTTCTTTTGCAGCCCACCACATAAGCAGTAATGCTTACTACGTACCGGTTATTAAAATTTTGTGTCTGTACATAGATTACTTAAACAGCAGAGCGTGATTCAGCCGTGTCTTGCCCTGCTTTGTCATGACTTAATCAGGTGGAATGGACGACATACTGTCAGAAACTCAAGAGGTGCCTTCAGCTTGATGTGATTTTCATCTGACAAAGCAGCGATAAGACATAGCCGACCAATCACGCTCCGCCGTTTAACCAATCTCCGCCTGACAAACGCAAAATTTCAATCATCTACCTGCTGGTGGGTCTTCCTGGCTTACATATTGTATTTTCATAATGTTTTTGTACTAAATAAATAAAAGAAAAACACAGAGGTCATAGAAACTGTTGAATATAGTGTGGAAAAACAAACTTGCAGAAATATATAGAGGGCCAACTAAAAATATTGTTTCGCTTTAGCGAAAAAAAACAGAGGTTGGAGCCTTGGAGGTCATCTCCGAGGGTATCAACTGTGTATGATTGTTGGAATGCGATGATTCAAAATGATCCCACCTACAATATTTGGAAAAGAGTGTAGCTAGGCATTTCCGGTAGAATTTTCAGTAAAAATGCTTGAGAGAGAAATAAATTTATGAAAAATTATACTTCAAAGAGGTGAAATGTAACAAGAACACAAGTAGTGTGACAATTTGAGTACATCTTCACAAGGATTTCCTGACTCATAGTTTCATGGACCCTTCCCTTTGTGAAAATACTCGGTTAGTGTAGCCTAACTGAAGATCACAAACCTCACCTGATGTTCTTCCGATGAGACTGACGAAGAAGTTTCCGGAACAACATTATTGTATTAATGGTGTACAAATGGGGATGGTGTATTCTTGTGACCAAAACTTAATATTGCCTAGAGTGAACTGTTGCGTATTATTTTTGGGAGAAGATTGACAAGAAATTGAGACTGAAACAAAGATTATTTTCGTTAAGTGAAGGTGAGAATAATGCTCATTGCGTTGGCACAGTGCAGTAAAAATGCATTGACGTTGGACTGTTAGAGGTGAAAATTAGGACTAGACAAAAAAAACTGAAACCTTATGAAGTTATGCACCCTTAGGTATCAAATTGAAGACAGATATTCAAACAAAAGTTGTTCATTCTTCCTCTTCGGCATGGCATGGCATGCTCTAAAAAAAACTATTAAAAAAACAACAATATTTACATTGAGAACATAACCTCAATTTTGTACAAGTTTGCAGAGAATTCAAAAAAGACTTACGGCACAGCGATTTGAGCTTAATTTTAAAGTTGTAGCAATTATTTTTTCTGCAAACTTAATGACTTATGTATTGCCACTTTTGAATATTTTTTTTTTTTTTTGTGTAGGCTCTGGTCAATATAACCAATGTCTTCTGAAGATATCTGAGGAACATACAGTTTTTCCGGAAGTAATTCGAACGATAGAGTACGTAGTTATTACTTGCCTTGCATCACTGATATCAATATCAGAAATTCTTGTTTTGATCGGCTGCGTATTTACGTGACTTACGTGAGTGTTTTTTTTTCCCCGAACGAAAAAGTTAAAAGTTTTTCTGATTGATACTAAGTGGTGTAAGCTTTATTGAAGTTATGGCGTTTTATTTCAAGCCGCAAGTCACATTAAATTGACCACATCAGTGAATATTGTGTGTTTTTATCTCCATTTTGCACGACTCTCTCTGTGATCCCAGTACGGTCTCGAGATTATCAACTCGTCAGCATTTCATTTGCTTGTATCAGCGTTATTATCAACGTAAAATGTAGCTGTAATCATTTTTTCCTCCTCGCCTTTGTCACGTACCCAATATGGCAAGTGTGAATATCATCAACGACACTCAGCTAACCTGGGCTGAGTTCTGCAACAAGCATGCCAAAACAGCAGCGGCAGAGTTTGTCAAGGCTCTTTGCAACTACATCAGACCGGAGTTAAATGCTAATGAAGTTTCGAGATTAGCTGTTTCTCACAAAGAATTTCTGAAAAAGTTTGTCGATTGTTTTATGGAGCATTTTGAATCAGAGTTCTCCAAGAACAACACTTTCAAAGAGAAGTTAACGAACGGAAGTATTCTGACTCCAGGAACGTCTCCTGGTACGAATCGCATCAATAATCATGAAGAATTTAGTGACTACTCAGAACGAGATGCCGATTCTCCCTCGCCAAAGGCTAGTCATAAACCGTTTTTCAGAAGGTTGTCCTTTAAAGGTCTGAAGAAAGGGAAAAGCTTATTTACGAAGCAGAGCTCAGACGAGGTAGATGGCATGTCGAGTCACCATGGTGAGAAACATTCAAAGCACTCTAAAACCAAACTAGCGAAAATTGTTGTTGAATGCCGCAAGGAAGGTATTGTTAATTATTTAATTGGTGAAAATCCTGATGGAACCGAGAAGTGGGAGAAGTGCAGATTAGCGCTAGTCAAGACAGTTGGTGGATATATGCTCGAATTTTATTCGCCGCCAAAGGTAATTTTTTATTTTAACATACTTAGTCCTACCTAACTGGCTTAGAATGAATAGTCAGAACGTGATAAGCTGGCACCATGCCTGAACAATATTGTAAGAAGACAATTTTTGTTTAAGCACTGGCTGTTCTTAAATCCCAATTTTCATGTTTTTATAAATTTCATATTTTATGAAGAAAAAACCCGATATTTATTTCTGTAACTTAAATTTTATTTTTGCTGATGATGGCTGGGTCGCATCTAAAATACAAATCTTTCTCTCGAAAAAGTATTTCACAGTGTCAAACAACCTCATCCTTATTGATTTAGACACTCTTTAAATGCCATTCAAGTTAACTATGTCAAGATGTAACATCTCAGATCCTGAACGTAGTGACTACATTTTAAGGATTGTAATATACCTATAACTCTATAGATATGTCTGAAACAAGATAAGCAAAAAAAGGAAGTCCAATAGCATTTCTTACAGTTAGAAAAATTTTGCTCAGCTACTAGGTATCTATTTTTTATTCAATTCCATGAGGAAGCAAAATTATATTTTCAGATTAAAATTCTGAAAAGAATCCTTGATAGAATGATGACAATTTTTTTTAATATGAATTTCAAGCTTGAAAGATCTGCTTGAGAAATCTGTGTGTCCTGCATCTTTTAAAGCCTCTATTTCAGAATAGAAGCTTTCTACCGAAGCTGCAATCTACTGTAGGCCGTCAGCTACCTTTAGTAGAAAACAACTAAGTTCTGGAGTCAACAGATGTGTCTGCTTGAGTGTTAAGTAGATGCAGGCAAATTTTGAATTAAAAAGTTAAGAAATAAAGGGAAAAGTGCTGCATTGTAAGAGTGGCACCCCCTACTTTTACAAGTCGTCTCTGATTGGCTGATTTGCCTGGTATCCACTTCCTGGGGCCCCCATGGAAAATAAGACGGGGTTCATTTTTCATCCAAAATATCCTGGAAACAAGGAAAAATTTATAAGTCGGAGTTTTCAGAAACCAATTCTACAGATTTTTCTGAAGAGATTGATGAGTATGAGTGATAAATGACACTTTTTTCTCAAATTCACTGAACACTTTGACCTGGAATTTTGTCTTTTCAACTTGAAAAATGACACATAGTGTCATGAAAAAACAAAATTCAAGGATGAACTGTTTGGTGTATTTGAGAAAAAAGTGTCATGTATTACTCATCAATCTCTTCAGATAAATCTGGAGGATTGATTTCTAAAATCTCCAACGTACGAGTTTGTCCTTGTTTTGAGATATTTTCTGTGAAAAATGAGCTCAGTGTTATTTTCCATAAGAGCCCCAGAAAGTGGGCAACAGGCCAATCAGCCAATCAGAGACGACTCGTAAAATTAGGGGATGCCACTCCGCCATAATGCGGCTCTTCTTTTCTCTTTGAAAAGAAATATTGAATCTTTTAACCAAGTACATAGCAGATGGCATTTCAAGCAAACAATTTGGTTTTCCTCCGCTGAATACAGATAATTTTATAACTTAAGTAGCACCTGTTTGTCCTTTTTTCTCATTCTTTCTTTAATCTCTGAAATATGAAAAAATTTTTTCCAGGCAACAAAGCCCAAAAGTGGAGTTTTCTGTTTTCTAATTTCTGAGGCTCGTGAAACAACAGCCCTGGAAATGCCAGACCATGAAAATACTTTCGTTTTAAAGGTAGGTTTAAAGAGTAATATTTTACTGCAAAGAGTCAAGTATTCTGATTAATAAAAAAATGGACCAAATTTTTTAACACTATGTAATGGATGTATTGATGACTAAGTAAGCATTTTTGAATTTTCAAATTCCGAAGTAAGTATTTGAAGCCAGAAAGTTAAAAGTTTGAGTTTTTGGTAGGAAGATCAACAGAAATTCATCAACAAGAAAATGTATGATCGCATCTCCTGAAAACCTTTTCACGCAAAAGTGCAATAAGTTCTCTGGAGCAAAAATTGATCTTCATCTCAACCTGAAAATGTCCTCATTCCACAGAACCATCAAAAGTAAAACACGTTGAGCGAGAAAATCTCAAAAAAAGCAAGCCTTCCTGTTTTTCCCCTCACTTGTCACTATTCATAAAAGAAAGAAAAACATTTTCATCCTGAAATTTCTCTCCTAGGTATCTTGCAGTTTTATTCATGCCATGTGGGATCCCAGCTTGCAAGCTCAAGCATTTTTTGCGCTTCACTCACGATTTTTAAGACTTCCATAGATACAATGTAAACTATCTCCAAAATAGCGCATCAATTGTCAGTTTAAGCAATATCTGTTTTAATAACATCATTAAGTTTTAGGCAATTTGCTCTCAGATAATGTTGTGGTCAAACCTTTTACAGTGGCTTTTTTCTCCTAGTTTCCTTGTGTGATTTTATTTTAAGAATTGCCGTGTTACATTTTTCATCTAGGATGATCACGGTGTGGAGTACGTAATCGAAGCCCATGACTCGGATGACATGAGATCTTGGTTGGCAACAGTCAAGTACTGTATGCGGTCCAGTCCTCCTGCTGACATCCCAGAAAACAGGTTGGTGTCACAAAACAAGTTGGATTAATATCCACAACTAGTTGTCTTAGTTTGATAGTCTTATTACAGTAGGTTAGCATTTGCTAATTTATTTAATTCAGTTTTGCAAGGTAAAATGTTTCAACTCTCTCCATTTTGCCAGAAATACACACACGCTGTTTTAATATTGTGTAGTTATCAGTTTTAATATGTATTTTTTAATCGATGAAAAAAAGAACAATTCTGATGATCAATCGGGAGGTTTTATTTTGTTGAAATTGAAATGGTACCCTCAGCTGTTGAAAAAAATGAGACTAGGTAATTGTTTTCACTTTATTAAAATTAAACTACTCCACTCCACCGCAAGTGTTTAGCAATTGAAATCAACGGGCTTTCTTCTCTTTTTTCAGTCCGCTCTCTGAGGTCTCAGAACGATTGCGTATGCCAAGCGGAATGATGGTGAACAACAATTGTATAATGAAGCCGTCTGCACCTGGTATGGAGCCAGTGAATGGAGAGCATCCGCCAGAACTTCCTCCGCGAGTTCCTGGGCCTAGTATTCCTGGACAAAGATTATCATTTAATAGTAGTTTTGACTTATGCTCATCTCGCACAGACATTGAAAGCAGTAAGTATCAAAGCCTCCATCTTCTGTCATATCATGTTCGGTAAGTAAGAGCATTCAAATCCATTCGTGCGTAAACAGCAGAAGTCGAGTCTTTAAGTTTGAAGGTTTCAAAACCATGTAGGTATTTTGATGTCCATGCTGCAAATAAGATTTGGTCGAGGAATTAATTATAGAGGAATTGTTCCTTTAAAAAAGAAGCTCTAGAAATGTAAATTTGAAGTGCTTGTCAAATGAGATACCTCAAGAAAGAACACATCTGCTGCTATTATGGAGAATTTTGTTAAGCATAAAATGAACTAACTACCTAATGGGTAAACACAGTTGTCAATTATGTAAACTCTAAGCTCACTCACTCCTAAAATGAGTGAGCTTTGAGTTTATTTGATTGACAATTGAGTGTACCTATTTTTTTAAAAGTTCTCTGTTTAGGAAGATCCATCTCTATCCACAATACTTAGCTAATTTAAAAGAGGAAGAGCAATTGATACAAATAAAATTATGATTACTGTTGATTTGTTTAATGATTTTTAGAAGAATTTTTCAAAGAAGTCTAAAACTTGGTACCAACATTCCTAAAAGTTTGCAGATTCTGAAAAAGTGTTAACCCTAGAGATGGCGGATCTTCAATATCCGCTGTTTGTACAAATATGACTTCATTTACCTCTGTATGGAATGCTTTAATATTTTGAGGTACTGCTTAGACGTTTTGCTCTGACATTTCTTTCCTGTCTGTCTCAAAAATCAGAAGTGCTCAGTCGAAGTTGAGAGGTAGAAAATATTAAATTTTCCCTTTAAGTATAGGGTAGGCTTCAGAAGGTATGTCTATGTTGCTACTCTTATTGAGACAGTTTCGAAAGATAACTAAGTTTTTGTTGCCACTTTTTCAGTGGCTGAAGGTGAATGTGATTACGCTGTCACGCTGCGTGAATACCCCTGGTTTCATGGCACATTGCCAAGATCAGACGCTGCCACGCTAGTTTTGCATGGCGGAGCAGCTGCTCATGGAGTTTTCCTTGTACGGCAGTCAGAAACTAGGAAAGGAGAATTTGTTTTGACCTTCAACTTTCAGGGCAGAGCAAAGGTAAAGTCAATTGAAGTAAATTGAATTTAAGATATAAAGACCCTTACTGACCTGATGACTATCTGCTTTTTCTTACCTTAAGTCAATGGCAACAATGGGCCTGTTGTAAACTTTTGCTAGAGCAAAAATTAGAGTCGTTTTTATCAGTAAATGTATCAAAAATCATGATGAGCGTATTGGCAAAGTTTGAAATGCACTCCTACCTTCACAATCTGCATATGAAATTTGCGTTTTTTTAAGCCTCCCTCTCCAGAAACGATACTTTGGCACAGGAGAACAATCAGAGGAGTCGTTCGATTCAACCCTTTTGCAATAGCAATACCCAACATAGCCAACGCTTCCGCGCGCAAATCGCGACCGGGAGCACAAGGTCAACCAAAGCGTTATAAACGTGAAGGAATCGTAAATGTAAACTCGCTAGGTTGTTAACAAATGGTTAGAATCTCGTCCAGGCACTTGTGTTTTGGCGGATTGGTCTGGACCATGTTGAATATTGTGTAGGTTCCTAGTGCAAAGGAGTTGGATAGAATGACACCTCTAACAAATTGTTCACCTATGCTGTAGTATGGTTTTTGAAGCGGGAAGCTCAAAAATATGCAAATTTCATACGCAGATTGTCAAGGTAGGAGTGCATTTCAAAATTTGCCAATACGCTCATCATGATTTTTGATACATTTACTGATAAAAATGACTATTATTTTTGCTCTAGCAAAAGTTTGCAGCAGGTTGTGAAGTTAGGAGTGCATTTCAAACTTTGCCCATGCGCTCAGTATGATTTTTAAGACATTGACTGATAGAATCAACTCTCATATTGCTCATATTTGCTCTAGCAAAAATTTGCAACAGGCCCATTGAAAAATTAAATTGAATACTCCATCTAGCTCCTAGTTCTAAATTCCCGAGTCATCAGCAAGAAGTATGACAAGAAGTCTCCCACTTTTTTGGACATTGTGTCCTTTATGGGTTAATCGTGTAATGTACATTTCTATAGGCTCTGAATTTTTTACTTTGCACTGTTGATTTTGCATTGCTAATTGATTCAATAATTAACTCCTTGGGCGTAATAATTGAACCTAGCCTTCGACCCTCATTCTATTTTTCAACAGTCTATGCAGTATAAATTTTGCAAATTGTTCAAGTATTGGTCAATTTTGGAGTCAGATTAGGTTCTTCAAGTGGGAGTTCTACCAAGAAACCTCGATTTTCATTGATTAAATGGTATGTACTGAAGTGTTTCAGTGGCGTGACTGTATCGCTTAATGCTTTATGATCAATAGTTATGAATTTAATTTGTTAATCTTTGATTTTGTCGAGCGCTTTTTTACTCGCTTGAATGGCAAAAATAATTGCAACCATCTCTCTCATTCCAAGGAGGTTCATTGATCATGATGATTTTTTTTCCGTTTCAGCACTTACGAATGACCCTAAACGATCAGTTTCAATGCAAGGTGCAGCATCTGTGGTTCCCAACAATCTTTGATATGCTGGAGCATTTTCGACAACATCCTATTCCGCTTGAGTCTGGTGGCACGGCGGATGTAACGCTCACAGACTATGTTGTTCATCTCCCCTTGGCAGGGTCATCCATGTCGCAGTCAGCCTCAACGCACAACAATGTTGCATCTGCAGGTGGTGTGCTCAGACCCCACAACCCCTCAACATCCACGGAGCTCAGCAGAAGACCTCCGCCAACCCCAGAGACTCAAGAGGTAATTAGAAATGAAGTACACCATAAACTTGCACGTTTGAGTCACAAATTTCGACCAATTTTGAAAGTTAGAAGACGACTCACAACCTATCTCCGAGAATTTTGAGGTAAAAACATGCAACACAAAGTTAGTATTTGTGTACCTGAAAGAATTTCTAAGAGCATGATCAGAGAAAAGAATTGAATAAGATACAATTATGGAAACTGTGAACTCAGCGTTTTTATCAGGAAAGTTTCCCACAAAATCGGATGAAGTTGTGGAAACTTTCAAGAATTCTAAACACCACCTATGCAATTATACTTGTCAAATGCTAGTCTTTTAAAATGAACAGGGTGGCAAAAGGTGGTCACAATCTGGCAAAAGGTCATTTTTCCCTCCCGAGTCCTTGCAAATTTGCCCTAAAACTTTTTCAAGTGTGCAACCTACCTAAATAAGCTGACAGTAGGAATGTTAGTTTTTGCAATTCTAAGTTCAAACTTTATCTCATGCGGGAAAAAATCTTCTTAGGTTCGATCTTTATAGTTGATGACATTTTTTTGCAAAATTATTAATCGCAAAAAATGATCCAAGTTAAATATTGGCTTCTCAAAAGTTTTTTCTGCCTAAAAGCCTGATTCTCTTCTTCTCCTTATCAGCAATATTCTTTTGGACTATCAAACATACTTTTATGTTGCTGCTTTGTGTGATGTTATAATGTTGCATCAAATTCATCACATCAAAATTTGCTAACAGTTGCTATGTCTGCTAAATTTCACCACTGTTTGATATGCTTTTCTCTATGACCTCATGGGCATGGCAAGCTTAAAAAATTGAACTATTAATGTGCCAGTGGATCTTCCGACAAGGTGCAAATTTAAGCTATCACTATACCTAAATTACCACCTTATCTGGTAGTCCATTTTAAAAAAGCAGGGCTGAAATGTGAATTTTTCAGCACTTATACAAGCGCTATCTGTTGAAAATGTCCCAACATCTGATTGGTGATCATGGAAAGCTTTTATTTTCTCTCCAGCTGGGAAGATATGACACAGATACTTAAAAAATCAAATTCCTCCAAACAAGAACAGCGAGAAGCGCAGCGTTCACACGCACAGTTACAGTCTCGCGTCTTCATTACAAATCATATGCATGAAAACCAAAAATTCTTTCTTCAGCCCTATTTTTCACATTTGCTTGTAGAGAATTCGATTTTAAAAGCGTATCGCTCTCAGGTGGCTATGAAGAGCATCAAATTGATGGCAGAAGTGCGGAACGACGTATCTCCGTTTGCAATGTAGCAGAGTTCCTGTCTTTCGGTATTTTGTCTTTAAAAAACTAGCCAATTAATTTTTCAAAAACTTCCTTGATTTTTCTTCTCAGTCAGCAGAATATTCTGTAAAAATTTCAAGCTCTAAAGTTGGCTTGTTTCTCCTCGAAAGTATGAAACAGGAGCGGAAATTTTGAAACAATGCAAGGAGATACGTGATTTTGCAATCTGGCCATCAATATCAAACACCAAAGTTTAACTCGTGCCGAACTGATTGTAAAACACCATGTGTTACTTCATTCTTCCATTGAGTTATTTGTCTATTTGTTTTATTTTGCATTTATTGTGTTGCTTTTGTCAGAAACTTGACCTCTATGGTAATTAACCCCTATTTATCAGCCTTTAAGAGAGTTTCTTCATCATTTAAGAATTTCACTCTAAAATGATCCGTCCACAGAAAAAAGAATCCGAATGCAGCAATAATCAACTTTAAACTGGGAGAAGTCGGGGAAAAAAGGCAAAATGACCTTAAAGTCTGATAAAAACTATGTTGATGGAAATAGTGAATGCCTATGGGACCGTATGGGTTACGGATAATTGTCTCCTATTATTAGAAAATACTAAAATTATTTTTCTCAATAGTTACAAATTTATCGTCTTATTGATCATGAGTAACTTGGAAAGGCCAGAGAATTCCAATTTTTAAGTTCCGTTGCATCTCTGTCCCTGTATCCCACCTCTGGTATTCCGATTGGCTGAATATTCATTTTTCTGTGCTTGTTTGCATCACTGTGTTGACGTTCGACTATAGCTTTTTTTTTTTCTTGTGTTTGTCTCCGCAGGTAATAATCCACAGTGGCCTAATCAGACAGCGCATCCAGTCCCTAGAGTTTCTGCAAAATATTGCAGCTTACAACTCCAGTAGTTCTGCTGGATCCCACTCTAATCCCCAGTCATCTTCCACTGGTGCTAGAGCAGTAGAAAATATGTACAGTTTTGTTTGATTTGTGTTGAATTCTCAGTTGTAAAGCTTTGTTCACGCCAGAGGTAAGCGTATCCAAAGGCTTGACCAATGCTACAAACTACGGCAGGACTACATGAAAGCTCAAAATCCAAAAAAGAAGAAGGGGTATCAAAAAGGGCCATTTTTGGGCCCACCGTGAATCCCCTCAACTCAACAATTATTTTCTCATTGAAGGTATATATTTTTCGGAATGCATCATAATTTGGTCATTCATGGTTTTTTTTGGGTCTAACACAGGTCTTAACATGGGTCTGAAGGCCGATTTTGGCGCCAAATGTGGGTTCGCGGTCAAATGCTGAAAATTCCGCAGTTTTCGCCGTATTCGGCTTTTCTTCAGTTTGGGAGCATTACTTTAATATTAGTTGCTTGAATGGAGGGCGATGAGAATTTCTCTATTGGATAATGGGATGTACTGTTTGATATAATAATAGCAGTACCTCCTCTGGCTGTTCCCGAGGGATGTTCAGTATGATATATTGAGTAATGCGGAAATTTTGCATAGTGGTGTTCTTCTGTAAAGTGAGTTTCTTTGACTAGCAAAATATCCAAGTAGTATAATGATAAGTATGTTTTGATGAGATTTCTATGTTTGTACGAGTTTAGCCCGTTACAGCTAATAAGACCAATGCGTAGGAGTTCATTCATGGTTTAGCTAAAAGTATCTCCATGATTGACATTAATTTTAGAAGGATTTCGTCAATTTGTTTTTGCTGCTTCGTGAGCATTGAAAAGAGGAACTTAAGATCTATGTTTCCAGGGGTGCCAGAAGTGGGTGATTCTGATGATTCAGCATTATCAGCGGTATTGATTGGTGATTGGTTTTGGGCGAGGGTGTATGCTTTCGCATATGATAAGCCAGGGTTTGGGGTTCTTATGAAGACTGAAGGTTGCTGTTTTAGCGTTAGAGGGAATGCATATGGGTGGTCAGGGGACATTTGTTGGTTTTTTCGCGTTAGAGAGAATGCATATGGGTGGTCAGGGGGCATTTGTTGGTTTTTTTGGGTTCCTGTTTGGTTTTGAGTATATCTCTTGTTTTGGAGGATAGCGGCTTTGCAACCCCTGTAGTTGGCTGGATGGCCTTCCTGTAGGCAGAGGGCATATTTGGGTTTGGACTCTTTAGGTTTAGGGCATTCCCAGCTTGGGTGTCCTTGCGCGCACTTTATACATTTAAATGGGTAATTACAATGGTTTTTTTGTATGTCCATAATACTGGCATCTTCGGCACAGAGGGAGCCAGTTCTTAGATTTGGGAGGCTCAATGCTTACTTTCAGGTGGAACAAGCCTACTGTTTCGTAGATTTGTTTGACGTTATCGGTTTTCTTTAGATCTACAAAAACTATTGGTATCTCCTTACGGACTCCTGCCATTCCATCCGGCTCTCTATACAGTTTTTGTGCTCTGTGGACCGTAGTTACTATGTAGCCTTTTGCTTCAATTTCTTGTTTGATTTCTTCTTCCGAGTATCCCACAGGAATTCCACGTACTGCTACCTTGAACGGTTTTTGGGTTTTTAGCTGGAAGGTATGAAATTTAATGTCCCTTTCTTCTAAGACTTTTTGTACTTTTCTGAATTCTGGAATTGTTTCCAGCTGCAACTTTATTTTTCCCCCTTTCTCGACTGTTAGGGAGAAGTTAGTTATTGGGGTTGTTTCTTGGATCCATTTGTCTAGGTCAGGTGGGTTGTCTACCTCGGAGAAGAAGATTGGTGGTGGTCGAAGTAGAGTGTCTGGTACTTGGGAGGGGGTATTCCCGTTTACGTTATCTTTCAGAGATATCAGATCTGATTCCTCTTCGTCATGGTCTGAGAGAGCAGAGAATCTATTATTCAGTGAGGTATTACCTTGACTAGGAGGCTTAGTAGCCGGCGGTGACTTTGACTTGGGGGGTTGAGGCTGAGTAACTGTAGGAGGTGTTTGTTTTTTAGGCCTGTGTTAGACCCAAAAATAGACTGCAAATGACCAAATCATGATGCATTTTGTAAAATACAGTCTATCAATGAGCAAAGAATTCTTTAATTGAGGATATTCAGCCAGAGGGGGTCCAAAAACGGCCCTTATCTATACCCCTCTTTCGATTCCAAGGCCATTCTTTCCTTTCACTGAATGACTGTTTGTTACCCCTAAGGTAATAATGAATTTCCGAAATTCTGATCATATGACTTAATAATACATTTTTTTCCATGTTCCTACTTCACCTTAAATAATGAGCCGTTCGTCTGCAATGCCTAATCTTTACATGTTGTATATGAATTGTTCAGAGTCATAAAAGTTATCGATAATGAAGTGCAAGACGTTTGCAAAAAACAAGGTTGCACCAGCAATCAAATTTCACAAATCTTACCGGTGCCATTCTGAAGGAAGGCCTTTCATTTTGAAACTGTGTATTTGACACATGGTGCTCGTGAAGTTAGAACAGTGGTTTTCGGAGAATGGTTTTCCCTCTTGTCAAAAGTTTACTTTTGTCTCAGGAAAAATGCTCGATTTGCTCAACTTCTACAAGTTCTTCAAGGACAAAGAAGAAAAATAATTATTTTCTCTGCACCTCTGTGCTTGTCAAGAAAATTGAAATTTCTCAGCATGCGTAATCAGCCTTCGAAGGTATTTGGTTTTGTTCTGGTTTATGGGGAGGTCGTAAGGGTGAATTCGCCTTCAGAAAATACACACAAAAATAAAAATAATACATCAATGGAATATTCAAGTGCCTGGTCGAACTTGGATTTTGACCATGAGTATAGTTAATGTAGTCAAGTTTTTGGAAGTCATCATTTAGCATTGTTGTCTCCTTTAGAGGGTGGCAACATAGAACATTAATTAACATGCTGCTTGCCATGAAGTTTTTGGTGCATACATCCTTCTGGCAACCCCCCCCCCCTTCCTCCCTCCATTAAAAAAAAGAGAGAACAAAAAACAAAATTTCAGTGGTGCAGTCTTCTGCTGGGGCCATACCAGTCGTGAGCCATTAGTTTATACACGCATGACCATACGTGTCCCTGTATGGCAGGCAACATGTTAATATAAGAAGTTTTTCAATCATTTCAACATGCTCAAAATTTGTTTAGCAGGTTTAAAGTTTAGTTTTTATCTTCGTTTTTTGTTATTTTCCTCAACTGTAAGGAAAAATGTATCTTTAGGCTGTTTTGGGTTTTTAATTTCTTTTTTATTGTAGGTAAGTTTAATAAGTTGATCTTGCTTAGAGAAAGTGCTATGTTTATTTGACAACAGCCTGGGAGCTCACCCGCTCATGGATGTGAACAAAGCTCCAGTTGATTTATTTTGTGATATATTTTGGTTTTATTATTGTTGTAAGTACAGTATTATAGTTATTTTACATTAAATCAATACTGATGCAGTGTAAATGGAAAAAATTATATTGGAAAAGTTAAGACAATGAGTTGAATTCTTTTCTCCACTTAGTGCAAAATTTCCATTTGTTCAGATTAAAAACAAACGAACACTCTTGCCTCTGTATTTTTGATTTTTTCCTGATCAGCTCCTTTCCTTGAGAAGGTTGTAAACACAATTCACATTTTGAGTGGAGGAAGTTTAAACTGGTCTCCAACGCAGCATCGTTAAAGTGACAATTTTTTTGTAAAAATTTCCTTTTCATGATGATAAATGAACTGCAATAAGCAGAAAGGGACCAAGTCACATCAGCTATTGCCAAATTTAACTGGGCAATTTAATTGTTTACAAGAGAACGGAAATCTTTATTTTGAGGAATTTGCCTCGTACTATGTAGAAAATCCACTGAAATTTGCACAAAAATCTGCACAACCGTTTTCAAGTAAAAAATTAAATTGCCCAGTTAAATTTGGCAATAGCTGACGTGGCTTAGTTACTTTCTGCTGAACATAGTCCAAGTCAGAGACCCTCTAAATTATAACACAATCCCTAAGTGGCTTCCTGATGGAAAGGAACTGATTGAGGAACAACTATGAATACAGCCCTCACAGCTGGAAGCAACAAAGGGGCAAGAACTTGGTGAAAATTAATGTAGAAGTAAAGGATACTTTTTATCCAGGATAAAAGAAAGCAGCAGTAAAGAAAAGGAGCAACATAACGAGTTTGAATAATTGTTTCATTATTTTTTGATACAGTAGGTGGAAAACATATAAAAAGTCTCTTACAAAATTCCTCGCAAAAAAATTTTCACAGCATGAAGTTCCTTTTAAAATAATAAAAAAGGAAAAAATGCAAACTACATTGCACGAAAGTGAACATTTTATCGCTAACCAAAATTATCATATCAATGGTCTCATCTAAAATTTACAATTCTCCTTTTTTGATGATTATCAACTTACATTATTGACTTGCAGTAGCTTTCAAAGAAAGGATTGGATTTAATGCACCAAAATTAAAAACAATTCAGTGACTTCTTAGATGCAGCAAATTGAACAACTAATTACTCAAAATTTTAGGGTCAGAGATTAATTAACTGACATTTCTGACTTTAATACTTCTATTACTTTTTATTTATCGAACAATAATTGCCTTTCTTTGTTCGGTTGCGATGCAGCTCATTTTTGTTCGCCTTAATTTTATATTTTTACTTCAATATCTGTCCTTCCTGTACATTCGACAGGTTTTTGAGAAAGAAAAAATTCATTAGACCCAAATAAGGAGTTGATTGAATAGGAATGCTAGGTGACAGAGGTGCAGAAAGTTCTTAGCCTTCCACTTTTGAAAACCTTCTTTCCCCAAAAAGTTTCAAAACTATGAATTTTCTTTTGTCCTTTATTCACAATTTTCCACGGCTTCGCTGAAAGCAAACAAACTTCAATCCGATACTATAAAAAGCACATGAGAAACAAACAATTTTAACGCTGTTGCGCACGATTCCTCCCATTTTTCATGCAAACATCATTATTGGGTGACTAAGAAATTTCTGCACCCCTTCTGGGTGATGGCTTGAACTTGGAATAATACCTAAAGAATTGCAGTAAAAATTTTACTCCAGATATATTTGTTTCTTGAAAACAGGATCAAGGAGAAACATACCATCTCTTAAAGAGAAAAATGATTTTCAGTTTCAAAACTGATACTTAAGAAACCGGAACTATAAAAAAGGCAGGCTAGTAATCACTAAACAAGCTACTATCATTAATACATTTCTATTATTGTTTTGCACATATTTTCATGCTAGCAAAATTCGGCAAAGTATAAAAATTGAGACCTTGATACAGTCTTTGAAACATTGCAAGAGAAGCTTACTCCTAGAGAGGCAGGAAAAGTGAATTCAAAGATCTTCAATTTAAGGAGGGCGCATGGTTCAGCAGGTTGATCAAGGAATTTTGTTTTCGTTGACGAGACACCTGATGCGATTCAGCTGATTTTGAGAGCCATACAAGTGCTCGATTGTGTGCCAGGATTTTTTCATCCAGTTGTATTTGGATTGCGTAAAACAGAAAGGAACCAAGCCACATCAGCTATTGCCAAATTTAATAGAGCAATTTAATTTTTTAACAAGAGAACGATTTTGCAGATTCTTTTGAAATTTTTGAGGAATTTGCTTCGTACTACTCAGAAAATTCACTAAAATTTGCAGAAAAATCCGCACAACCGTTTTCAGGTAAAAAATTAAATTGCCCAATTCAATTTGGCAATGGCTGATGTGGCTTGGTTCCTTTCTGTTTAACGCGGTCCATTTGACTCAAAGCAATCGGCACCTATTGCTGCGCTTAATAAACAATATGAAGACCGATTCATTATAAAATCTTCATAGCTGACCAACCAATAGCATTACATTATTCCACCATTGATCCTGTCACATATCACCTATGAGGAAAAAATTTCGAAAATCAGCCTGCAGTTTGATCACTCACTGAATGAATCCGTTATCAGCTACAGCAAGTATTAGCTGCTTATAGCTGCCATACACAAACACATACTCAATGATGGAATAATGAGATACAGCTTTACTCTTGGTCTTATGTGTGTGCAACTGAAGATTCTTCACGAAATCCATAGGTAACTCAGTTTTGGAGCAAGAGATTTTTATGATCAGTGCTTTCTAAGCATTGATATCACTTGAGACTGAGACCTATTTACTACCATGAATTGGGTGCTTTGTTTTTTATCCATTTATTTTCAATGAAATTCGCGTCATGGCAAAAGCAATAAGCCAGACTTAATGGCAAAACAAAATAAAAGAAACAAACTTTCTCAATTTTGTCTTTCTTTACATTTGATAGAAGAGTGCCGACGACGCATTTAGATATCTTAGATCATGGAGGTATGATTACTTTGGATTGGAACTAAGAGTACAAAATAAGGCCTGATTTCCAGTGAGTCAGGTTAACCAACATATAGAATAATCACAATTTGATTCATGTTTGGACACGTAAAAAACGACAATACTTATGAATATTATATACACCCACACAAAGCTTAACATACAAAATGCAAAAACCATTTACAGGAGGTCACAGGTGGAGAATGAAAGTGAGTCTGCAGGTCGATTCTTGAAATTGATATGCAAAGCTATAGACAAAGGAGGCAAAAGAGATTTGGAGCTATCATAATGGTGGAAGCAGGTGGTTGCAATGGACGAAGGAGGTAGGTGACAGACTAACTAGCAGCAACCCCTTTGAAAGCCCCTATAGTTAGTCCATCATGTTCTCCTTTAGTCTACAGGAACTACCCATTTCAGCCAATAGGATCGCTACATACTCCCTACGTTGTCTTTGTCCAATGCTTTGTCCATCAATTTCAATAATCAGCCTGTTAGAGCCACATAGCTCGGGTAAAACGCCTGATTAACGTTTGAGAGTGGCCACATTTTCTGTAAAAAAGTGTTAATTTTTGAGGAGAGTTACAGATATTTTCTCTTTCTATTCTCATATAATGCAGATCTGATAGTGAAAGAAATCAAAAGAAAAATAGTCGCAGGTTTTACTGGCAATTTGTATTTCTATTTTATCAAAGGAAATTTGGCCATGTTTGAAGGGTCATAAGACGTTCTTCCTTAGCACAGCAGAATAGGTACGGGTAAGGGAAATTTTGAAAACAAGTTCTTTCTCCGTACGCATATTTTTTTTGTTATCACTGACATTGAAAACTAAAAGAGTAGAAAAGCTTCATTTTGGCTTAAGATATATTTCAATTAAGTAAATAAGGCTCTTTCATAAATTTATAGCTGCAGACTCATTTCAATTATTTACGATTGAAGTAACCTTTCAATTCTGCTTTTCACAATATTTGAATGACTGTATTTTTAGAATGAGAGATAAGTCCATCATATTGAGAAAGAAGAAAAAATTACGAAAAAGCACCTACAATAGGCCAAAAAAATGAATACTGAAAGTTGAAATACCAAATCAATTAGATCCAATTTTGTCAAATTTAAAATGCTTTTGCATTCAAATCACATATATGTCTTTCTGTATGCAACTTAAAAGACAGCATAAGCAGAAATGCTCACCGATTTTTATACAAGAAGGTAGTGGAAAACTATTAAAAAATCTTGTTTCCTAAAGCAATAGAAAATCATTGGTTTTCGTAGCTTGACGACAGAATTTTCAGCTTTCTTTTGAGGAGGAAAATTAATATTTCAGTATAGCAGGGTAGAGAAGATTCTTATCTTTGGAAAAAAAAACTTATGAGAACAAGCCAAAACAGCAACAATAGGTACATATTTTTCTCTTTAAGATCGATGCAAGGAGTTAACTCCTGTTAAGTTTTGCATTGAGATTTTGTATCACTTCATTCATACATTCATCACAACATTTTTTAAACAGTCTGTACAAGAAAATAACAACTGAAAAAAGGGAAAACAAAAAACGAAGAAACAATGAGGGATTATACAATCAAAACTGAAAAAAAAGATATACCACCCAGTCAGCCAGGGCTGAGTACTGAAATTTTGCTTTGCCCATGGGATGCACTAATAGTGAGCTGAAAAGGAAGTGGTCTCATAAGTCGCTTTAACCCAGTGATTACCTTATCGTGCATTTTCTGGGTTGCTGTTATGATTGACTGCTGAATATGACAAAAAGTGACAATCGCTTACAGTCATTTTACCCTATAAAGCCACAATAATAGCGGCACTTCATTTTGCCTTAGCTTCATTGAGTCTCATCATAAAAGACATTATTAACTAGATAGACTGTCTTCAGACTCGGCTACAGTTTGACTTAAATGCTGATGGATCTCACGAGCAAAAATTGGCAAGCTTACTTTTGAAGGAAAGAAAAAAACAGGAAAAAATCTGATCAGATGATCCCAAAGAGACCCTGACCATGGGCAATACAAAAAATACATTGATACATTATACAATAAGTGAAATCCTCACTCTGATTGCAGACAATTTTCAAAATAGGGGCAAATCCAATGATTAAATACCGTAAAAAATCCAGACTAAATTAAAATCCCTCCCAGAGCAAACATCATCAAGATGTGTATGAATCGGTTTAGACGGAAATAAATTTCATCAACAATTCACGTTTTGGCAAGAAATCATTTACCGCAACCGACCAGATGATTCCTTCCTTGGAACCACAATTTACGGTAAGATATTTAACTCTGACCCCGAAAGAAACAACTTACTTTTAACACAGGCTGAAACAAAATATCACGTATAAAACTTATGAAGAACGTTGCGTCAACCATGTAGTCGTCAATCTTTAGATTTCCGTTTTCCCGAAGGGCTTTTGTGGATCCGCTTGTGATGATCCTGTGCTAGAGAGTTTATTATGGAGACCAAGAAGAATATCACCATTGTGACCACAACCATTTCGAGACCTACTGCTAGGATACTTTTGCTCTGAAACAGAATAAAAAAAACTTGGTTATTTTCAAGTTAAAGGAAAAATCAGTCTTCATGAGAAAAGAAGAAGGTCTTTAAATTCAGTTCAAAATTGTGATATTTTTTACTCACACTAAAGCTCCTGGATTTTGCAACAAATCCGATCCTTAAAATGTAAATCCTAGTCATGAGAATGCAAAATCAGATACCATCTTTGATTCTGACCTATGAAAGACCAAAAAGACTTAAGCCTTCAGTGTACTTTTATTTTCGAACTTCCTGTAGGGAAAAAATTCACTCTGACCTTTGCCAAGAGCAGTTCTTAAAATTAAAAATCTCTCATAATATGAACGGCATTGTATTATAGATGAAGAAATTTCCTGGTAGAGGCAGTTCACTGATAAAGTTGGCTGGTGATCAAGTTCAAGGATTTGATAGCTTGGGGTTTGAAATATTCTGCCAAGAAAGGAAACAAGAAAGTATTGAATGGTGAAAAAGAAAAATTCATGCGTTTTGCAACTCACCTCGACTTTCGACTTAGAGCCACCATGGAACTTTTCTTTCTGTTCTGAGAGAAACTGGGTGAGAATCAACGTCAGATACTCGCTGATAACAGGAACTTTTGCAATGAAACTAATAAACCTGTCTATTAGAGTCTCATTAAATGCTATGATTACAAAAACAGTCTGAATCGACATCTTGATTATGGCTTTTCCGATGAGGGTGGCCCCGAAAAACGTCCAAAAGGGGATCAAGAAATGTCCACAGGTGATTCCAGCCAGATCAAATAATGGGTTTGGTATCTGAAAAAGAGAAATATAAAAACTTCAGTGGGCTTGAAAAAAGGGGGTATAGTCGAGAGAAATGATAGGTTTCTGGTCACCAGTAAATTAGCTTAAATTCTTTGAGGTGTGTTTATGTTTTGAACCGATGACAAAAGTGAGAAAACACGTGCCTCCATTGCAATGTCTCAAAATTTCTGCTTTTATTTTATTTTTTTTGAGGAAAAGCAAGCTGACTTTATAGCTGAAAATTTATGCAGGATATTTAGCTGACAATGGAGAAAAATCAAGGACACTTTCAAGAAATTACCTACACTAGTTTACCATTTGAAAATAAAGTATGAAAGGAGGTCTGCGATTTGGCAGTTGAGATATGTGGTTTTGCACTTTAGCCATTGATATTATGAACCCTTTCGAACATTTTGCGCCCCTTCACCATATGATAATACACCAGTGATTCAAATCTCGACCTCCCTTTCTGAATGATGAGTAACTAAGGGGGTCCTATCTGGTGTATTTGGTGAGCTACTGCTACAATTTCATTAAAAAGTAAAGAAGATAAGAATACCCTAACTGATGGCTGTTGGAGTTTTGCGAGCTAGCGACAATGAACTGTTGTCATGTATATCCCTTTTACAAGCCAAGCAACTCAACAGATATACACAAGGCAGTGATGTTTTTACTCAAAGCTCGCACATTACCCATGACCTCAATTAATCTATCACCTCATACACAAAATTGAGATAACATAAAAAAACCAATTTGATCCTGTGTCAAACTACTTTTCAAATTTACGGCCCGGAAGAAAAGGTAAGTTTATTTTCGATGAGAAAAAACGATGCTACACTGAGCAACAAGCCCAAAAAACAACAATTGCAGTATATGCAATCACATGATGCCTCTACTGCAAGCAAGCAATTGGCAAAGAAACGATGACAAAAGAAACAAACAAAACACCAGATGTTTCGACCCATACCTTTTGTCATCTTTTTTTGGTCAATTGCTTACTTGAAGTTGGAGCATCATGTGATTGAAAATACTGCATTCATTTTTATTTTTTTTTGGCCTGTGGCTTGATGTAGCATTGTTTGTTCTTATTTGATACCTTAGTCAACCAAAATTGGCATTCCAATGTACTTATTCTTGATATGAATAATTACAACTTGAATTGGAAGAAAAAAGAATGAGAAAACCTACCGAAGCACATGCAAGAATCCCAAAGAATCCCGCCTTTTTGACCAGCTTTTCCGTATACAATTTTAGGCGGTCTATTCTTGAAAGTGGTTTGTTCTTTTTTTGGGCTTTCTCTAATGCTTCTAGCTCTTGGAACTCATCATCTGAGTTAGAGCCTGATAACCGGGCAGCTCTCGCCATGAAATATGGCGGCAGTTCTCCGAGGGCTGTGCCAGCTCCCCACATCATGGCTTCAACTCTCACCTTCCGCAGGATGTTCCATACAGTTACACTCCATGATGGATCTACAGAGGCTGCACAAACGATTCTGAAACAGAATGAGTGTAAATGATAAGGCCTATAGTATGATTACTAAGAGGATTATGATCAGGACAGCAGAGCTCCATCACAATAAGCGAATTTTCGTTGACGGCGAGCATGATCCGGTTGGTAAACATTTGAGATTAGGCTAATGAAATTGCTGCTAGTCAGATGGCATCATCTGCATCAGGTCATTCCTCAATCCTACTTTTTGTGGGTTTACTTTTGGTTTCAGCGTTTGCAAGAATTCTTGTTTCTATCTGCTTGGTGAGTTCCAATTTGGTTCCAAAAAATTATGATCGCATCAAAGAAAAATACGAATTCTTAAGACTCACCCATTTTGACTCGACCTATTATCAAAGAAAACACGCTTAATAATTCTTGATATGTTACTCATGAATTAGTGTTGTTTTGTAGGCAGGGACAAAAATGGAAAGTGCATTCTCTTGATTAAAACATTTTTATCCTGGCCAACTGAAACTTTCACATGTTGTTTGCAAAAACAGGAATAAGGAAAATAAGATTGAAAAAACCAACTGACAGAAAATATTTCTTCTACACATTTTTGAAAGGTCGACAACAAGATTGAGCCTATTCTCCTTACATTTTACAGCTAAAAGCATGAATTAAAAATTTTTAGCCCCTCGCACTAATGTGCAATTCAAAGTCTTTAAGTTGTCTTTTAATTTTTTTCAAAATGTATGGTCATCAAAGACCTCCCTGTGAAAACCATCCGTACAGTTTAAACATCTATCAGTAAGTCAGCATTGTTGCATTTTTGTGTCGCTGTAAATACATGACAGACTTACTTATCAGGATAAGGAGGCTCTGGAAAATTCAAGGAGCCACATTCATAGGCGGCTAGAGTGACGGCAGCTATATGAGGCCCTAGGTACAGTACAAATGTGTGAAGACCTGTGCCCAAACCTATGGAAGACAGCACTCCAAGTCCCAACCAGTACACACACCACCAGGCCTGAATTTTAATTTTTCCTAACACCTGCAAAATGCAAAAATGAATATTACTATCGATAGGGAAGGAAGAGGAGCATACAGCGTTTTACCAATAAAATTAAGATACAAATTTTAAAATACTCTCGAAATATCATACAGGATAAAAATGGTTTGAGTCCAACTGGAAGATGGCAATGCCTATTAAACATCTGAATGGTATCTGAACCCTTGTGGCGATTCGGCCTGAAGATAAGATATAAATTACTGCACTAACCAAAATGTTTTCTTTTCAAAATTTTACAAGGCAAACGAATCACAAAACAATGAGACTGTAAATCAACTTCTGAACAAACTGTAAATGTTTATAATTAGTGTTGATTGGATGACAAAAATTTAAATAACGTCATTCATGTAATTTAACTCCCATTTGATCTGTGGTTGATCAAAGGTTGATTTCCAAACTTCCCGCTGTGTGAACTGTTTTCTACAAAAGAAATTTTGAAGAAGAAATATGTCAAGTTTATTTAGTTTAGACTTTGTTTGAGTAGTGGCCCAACATGACTTGCATAAACTGAGATAAAAATGCAATCTTGAAATTGTTATGAGTCAATGTATGAAGGCATTTTAATCAAGTTGTGATTGTCCTTTCTTAAATGTCCGTAGAGAATCCTCAGCATACAATTGAAAGTTTAAAGTTTGACTCTACATTGGAGATTGTAACAAATGAATACAGCGTCAAACTACTTGATACGAATCCCAGTGGACTAAGACTGTTGATTTCAAATGCAATTGTGCTCAAAAGAAGAGGTTGAACGCTACTATTGGCTTTGCAATTTTTACCAAAAAAAAAAAAAAAAAAAAAAAAAAAAAAAAAAAAAAAAAAAAAAAAAAAAAAAAAAAAACCAAAAACAAAGAGAAGGGACAAGGGTACTCAGTAACTTAAAATAATTCCTCTTCCATGTTATTATATTTATACCTTTTTACAATGTGAGATGTGAATTGTGAGGGAATTAATGTTTAGTACTTACATCCTGATGGGGTCCGCTGACATTTGATAGAACAACTATGGCAATTACGACTAGAAGTGTTGAGAACAACGCTATTCGATGTTGAGATATGCTGTAAAAAATAAAGATGGAGAAATTTAGTTGAAAATTTCTGTATATTGATTCTCTTGATTACCATTTTACCAACTTTTACTACTATGTTTTTTCCTTTTGCCTTTACAGAGAGAAAAAGTGTCACCACCTACTCTGCCATGCTAAGGAAGAATGCCATGTGAGCCTTCAGGAGTTGACACATTTCTCCTTATTAAACATTGTTGAGGATATATGGGTATTTTCCCTTAAAATTTGTGGATAATTTAGATTTGCGAATGAAATTCTTTGAAAAAATGGGAGAAGTACATCCAAAAATTTCCTTGAAAATTCGTAATTCATTGAGGGAAATTTGCAATGCTTGAGGGCTAATACAGTGTTCTTCCTTAGCACAGCAGTACTGTGCATTGTCTAGTGCGGCATTAGGTAAGGATTCTGGTGGGTCAGAAATTCGTTTGAACTACATTTTGCAATTAAGAAGTACAATATCCAGCCTATCCATTGCACCCATGTGCTTAGGGAAACAAATGGCGTTGATCAGAAACTTCGTTTTTGAACTGATTGTGAGCTAGAAATTGTAGCTCCAAATTGCAAAATGCAATCTATTTTCAGGAGAGCACAAGAAATGGATGTTCAAAATACAACCAATAACTGGACTGCACTTTGCAATAACAAACTACTATTTCTGGCTCATCCGTTAAAAAATTCATGTACATAGGGAAACTTAAGACAAATACGTTGTTTCTAAACTGAGCCAGAAATTGCGGTTCCTAACTGTAAAGTGCGGTCCAACTCAGCCTTAAAAAAAAACAGTATGCATTCAATTTCACTTCAAGAAGCAGATTTTTGCACATGATGGTGACCATATAATGAGAGGTTTGACAGGGTGTCTAGTTTTTTTCCATTTTGGGAAATCCTATTGAAATCCTGATTTTTGACTGCTAAATACTGATTTCAAAATTTTTCCAAATCCTGATTTTTTGCGGAGAAAAATTAAAATTTCTGCATAAGCATATGCGAAATCATAAAAAAATCCGATCGGACAGCCGACTTTTCTCAAATCCTAATTTTACGACCAATTTTTCCTCAAATCCTGATGAAATCGGGATTGAACCCTGATAGAATCGGGAAAATCCTGATGCTAGACACCCTGTTTGAAGGAATTATTCTCATTTTTATAAAAAGCCAAAAAAAGTTATACTCACTTAACAGATAATCTATACAATAATACAAAAACTTCTTTGAAGAAATATTGTAGGGTTTTGAAGGGCTTCCTCCATAGGACGAGTGATGCCCTCTCCTTCAGTAGTGCACTGTTTTTCGTATTTTTTCCTTTCTCTTGACTATTTTTTTGAGAGATATTGTTTCGTTGATGAGCATCCCCATTGGAGTGTTTCACTGAGTTGTGATTGGATGAATGCGTCCCCGAGTCATTGCCTTTCCGTTTCACAGCGCTGGCACCTGGCATCACTTCTAATAAATTTTCAGACTGTGACAAACAAGCAGACAAAGAAACATTCACTAGGGTTCAAAATAAAATATTTTGGCATTATATAAAACATCAACAAATTTTGGGGCCATGAGAGGACGATGGCCGAAGTAAAAAATTTCGCATCCTCACCACAAAGTTTGAAAATCTCCATTAATGTTTTATTATTTTAAAGAAAAATAACTATGATGCTTCTTGTAATTATTCTGCGAGTATTTTAGACTAACAATGAGGGAGGAAAAATCATTCAAAATTGAAGAAAAACCTTCAGTAAGTTTTTTGTACAAAAATAAGGCACGAGTGGATATCTGCGATGTCGCAATTGGGGATACATATTTTCCGCCTCTAGCTATTGAAAGGCTTGCAACTCAAAATCTCAGCTGTATCTCTCAAAAAAAAAAAAAAAAAAAAAAAAAAAAAAAAAAAAAAAAAAACAACTACCGGAAAACTTAACAAAGTATGGACGAAAATTTCGATGAAAGAACAATGGATAGGTGCTTTATTTCAAACAATACTTAATGCCCTACGATAAACTTCACAAAACGTTCTATAAACGTTGAAGGAGAGTTGGCGTGGTTTCTCCCATTTATAACGTAGACAAACTCAAAGATAAAGGTCATAAACTAGACTTTTCGAAACACAAACATCTCAAGATACGAAAGCAAACTGTGGCAAATGAGAGAGTCTTTGTTTGTGATGAGAGATTTGGATGATGGGGGGATTAACGGGAATTTATGGCTTACTTTTCAACGGCAGCATGCGGTTAGTAAACCAATACGACCGAGATTGTTGTCATACTGGATAAAAAATATAAGTCATCGATTGAATTTAATGTGATAACCCGCGATCTAAATTCAAGATACGAGATGTTTAAATTCTACTGTTTCCGTCGAATTTTACGGAAAGAGGTGTACGTTTTGAGTAGATAACTATTCGCGCTCTTAGGTGCAGGGCCGGATTTACCTACTTGCCGCCCATGGGCCGCCTGTATTTTGCCGCCCCCTTCTCATTCGTTTTGAAACATCAATAAAACCATCAAGTGAACGTGCCGAGGGTAGCGGGGTGCATAAAATGCGTTTACTCGTGTTAAGACACATTTTTTGCGAAAGCCATGTCAACGCTACAAGCAAAAGTTCACGGAACTTTGCGCGATAGTTAAGTCCCGTAAACTTATCTTTGTCCGTTGTGGACAAGGCCTTCCATTTATAAGCATTGAACGAAAAAATTGAGAAAGAACAAACATAAATGTGGTTAAATAATTTTAACTTCCGCCGCCGCCGCCGTGCCGCTCCGCACTGACCGCACTGTATTTGGCGAAATGCGGGAAGTATTCCTACAGTCTTGTAGGCGCTTAGCGTTTCACGCCGACCGCTGCTGACCGCATTGTGTCTGACGCACAAAAGTGTTATAAGAAACAAAGTAAATTTCGATTGTACAGGCACCATCAACGACAGTATAATGTGGGAATTCTCCGTCTCATGTTAAAAGAAATTAGGTGAATGAGATTACTAGTTTGATTAAGCTGTTTTGCCATACCTCCTCTCTCACTTCATCCACTCTCGATTATGCGTTATTACAGAAATATTCCCCTGCAATTCAGACTTACAAACTAAACATTGATGAGAGTTTAAAAGTCTCCCACCTTTATAATCTTTTCACTAAAATGGTACTGTTTAAAACTTCATAGATCTTTCATTTTCATGTCGATGATCAAAGAGCGAAACCTCGTAGGTATCTCCGTTTGCGACGTTCCAGACTTCTTGAAAACTTCTCTGATTTTCCTTCTCTAATAGCAGAGTATTCCGTATAAAATTCAAGCTTTAAAGTTGCCTGGTCTCCCTTCCAAAATATTAAATAGGGACGTAAATTTTGAAACATCGCAATGAAGATACGTGGTTTATCACTTGGGCCATCGATATCTCTCCGGTCTACTTTACTTTATCTGCTTGTCTAACCGCGGGTACTTGCAATTCTCACCTTATCTACTCCTTTCCGAGTCATTTCAAACTCTTTCATCTCATTTTTCTCGCTCTTTATCTTCGATCCTCTGTTCTCCTCTTCATGTTACCTCTCCTCCTAATCATCTTCGTTTGGCATCGTCCCAAGGCTCATACGGCGTTTCTCCTTAACGCAAAAGCACGAGAGAGTACCGAGCGCCAGTGGCGTGGCGTGCTTTGCAAATTATCGATTGATCTACCATCTAAAGCTATGGAAAAAGATCGATTAATAGGGTGTTCGCAACGGACACCTTAATAATCGATTCTTTACCATAGCTTCAAATGGAGAAATATCGATTCATCGCAAAGCACGCCACGCCACTGCCGAGCGACAACGAGACACTATCCGAGAGTTCAACAATATTTTTGGCAAGCTCCGAGGTGAAAACACGTCCATTAAAAGCAGACGCTTCGGTGCGGTCTGAGCAGGTACACGGTACAACGCGCACCGTGGGAGGAACATACTTACACAATTAAATTCGCATTTACCGCGATGAAATTAACCGGTGGAGAAGGGGAGGGGGGGGTGTCCGGATTTGAACTCGGGAAAAAAAGTGCGGAGGACAAAGCTGTCGTGATAGAGGAAGGCAAAATGCCGTATGAGCCGTCAAGCGTTGCCAAATTTCCTCCGACAGATCACAAATTTCAAGGGAAGTTAGTGTAAAATATGTATGTCTCGTCTGATTTTTCAATGCAATGGATTCGGTTCGTAATTTGATCTTTAGAGTCTGAAAATTTCAGGGAAACATATTTATAACATTCTTTAAACATAGATATTTTCCGGAGGGAAATTTGGCGACGGTCGAATGATCATACGGCGTTATTACTCAGCACGGCAAAGTACTGTACAGATTGTTACGCCGCTAAATATAGAGTGGGGATTCTCCGTTGGGATGGACTGAGTTTTAATGGGAAAGAACCGAGTCGCATTGAAATCGGACCGCGAAAAACCGGAGGAACATTGTTTGAGTGCGAAAACAGAGCTTACTTTGATACTGCAAAGTCGCGGAGTCAAACTTACTGCGCGAGACAAGTTTCATTGAGTAGAGATCCTCAAGTAGGTAACTATTGCTGCACTAAGGGTGCTTTTGGCCTATCTTGAAAATGGAAGGCGAAACAATGCGCGCAACTTCTACAAATTATTACTTCGCGTTAGTTCTACGTTCTTCAAATTTTTGGACGAGAAACGCACGCAGCTCTGGTCGAAAAAGAAGTCAACCACATGCAGCAAATAGAGTGGTTCCTGTTGGTGTATACAATCTTCCAAAAACTACAATGAAATCGGCGAAGTCTAGATGTCACTTCGAACACAGTTAGTTTTACGCACTTTATTTCGGGTGCCATAAACTCACCCTAGTTTTTATCAGAAACAGCTTTCAAACAGAAAGTGGTTTTAAGTGTGTTCAAAACATTCCTAAGCGACAAGAATCAGAACGGAATTAGCCGATAGGCTAGTTGGAAGAATAAAAATGAAAATAAAAAAATAAATAAATAAGTAAACAAAATTAAGATTAATTTAATCTTCAAAGTAGCGCAACCTTGCCGGATTAAACGAAAATACCAAAATACGTACATCAGTTTCCCAGTCAGCTAAAAACTTCCTTCCACAATATTGGAACATGTTTTCAAACTACCCCATTTTTTAAAAAAAATGCCTGGTAAATACAATTTCAATTTGAAAAAAAATCCCCAATTGCTCTAGGGTGATTTCCAAGTATCTGAGGTTAACTTGTGGAGTTATAAAGTTTTTAACGACACTTGTTCTCGTGAAAGAAAGACCGAACAAATGTGTATAAAATATGTATACATCGACGGCTGAGGTCCAAAAATGCGTACCTTAATTGCAAAGTTTAAAAATCTCCTACTACCCGTGTTTGATTTTTCTGAAAGAAGAACTATAACCAAAATATCTCTTAGAAATTTTCAAGGAACATTCAAGAATGGGCATGAGGGAAATTCACGAAAAAATTTCCGACAAAGCAGTTTGTTAGTTTTCCGTTAAATAACTAAACCACGAGCTGAGACTTTCACTTTTGCAATCGGAGATAAATTTACGATTCGGAATGACGGATTTGTCCATTCGTCGCCTCTCTGACGTAAGGGCAAATTTTTATTTCCACGTGAGCCCCAGAGAGCATGGGTTTATATGTAAAACAGGGCTCACGTGGAAATCGAGACATAGTCTTTACGTCAGAGCAGCGACGAATTTGACCCTACATTTCCGATCCCGGAAAAAAAGTAAAAATCACGCGCAGTTTCGTCGAATAATACGGATTGCTCCCCTTCAGAAAAATAAAACCTGATGGGAACGTCACCAATTCTGCCGTACTGAGTAAAAACACCGTAAGAGCATTTGAATGTTGCCAATTTCCTCTCAAAAAAATATTTATTTTTGAAGAAATTTATGAATACATTTTCTTGAGATTTTCAGACTTTTTCGATCAGATTACGAACGAAATCCTCTGAAAAATCAGTAGAGAAAGATTCGCAAATTTTCTGGGAAATTCGTGATTTGTCGGAGGAAGGTTGGCAATGTCTGATGACTCTTACGTCGTTTTTCCTTAGCACGGCATCAGAATTGAGGCGCGTGTTTTTCATCGTCATCGTCATCGTCAGCATCAAAATAAGCAGCATCTGTATGTGAAAAGATTGTTGATGAACCGAAATCGTGGAAATCGCATCACATCCGCGCATAGAATTTCATTTCTGAATGTAGAAGGCGAGCGAAAACAAAAACTTGTAAACAGCCTTGTTAGCTGTTTACGCGCAGTCGTCGGTACGTTTTTTGACGGGTGACACACGATGCTTTTGATTCTGATGAAAAAAGTCACAGCTATGTCGCATTTTAAAATGCGTACCGACTCATTCAAATATCAACTATAAACGCACTGATAATTTTAAAACACTCTTTGTAACGTTGAAGTTTCCTTCTCGCACCGAAGTCTTCAATAATTCGTCACCTTCACTGGAAAAAAAAAACAAATTGGATCTAGAGTCTAAACTCTTGAAAACATTGACAAGAAAAAATACTCTTGATTCAATCGGATTTTTGCTTGAATCAAAACGAAATCCGCTTAAATTAAGAGGCTTGGTTCTCGATTTAAGCTAGATTCTGATTGAATCAAGAGTACTTTTTCTTTTCGATGTTTTTAAGAGTCTGGACTCCAGATCCAATGTGTTTTTTTCCCCAGTGTTCCTGCAAAAGTATCACAAGCGTCATACGGCATTTCCGAATTTCCACCGCCATTTTATTTTTTCACAGAGAAATTGCTGGTTGAACCCGTTCAAAAATTTCACTGAATTTTATCGGTAGCACGAAGGAAATTCAGTGAAATTTCGGACAGGTTCGTTGGAGAATTTCCCTGTGAGAAAATAAAATGGCGGCGGAAATTTTAAAACGTCGCATGGCGCTTGTGATACTTCAGCCGGAAGGTGACGAATCGAGAACTTCACTGGAAAAAAACACATTGGATCTAGAGTCCAGACTCTTAAAAACATCGACAAGAAAAAATACTCTTGATTCAATCAGATTTAAAGCTTAGTTCAAGAACCAAGCCTCTTAATTTAAGCGGATTTCCTTTTGATTTAGGCTTAAATCTGATTGAGTCAAGAGTCCTTTTTCTTGTCAATGTTTTCAAGAGTCTGAACTATAGATCTAATGTGTTTTTTTCCAGTTTTGGGTGCAAAAAGAATTTCAATTCTTTCTGAAAAAGGGCTCAGACGCGAAATCATGCACTGAATTCTGGTGGTAAAACGACGCTTTGTGATTTCCCGCGCGGCGCGACGCATTTTCAGCGCATTGCAGCTTGCAGCACCGCGAAGCAGAGTTTGGATTTGAAAAGGCTTTTTTTTCTAAGACGACTGGATGAAAAAAAAAGCTGTTCCGAGACCTGACAATACCGGCGCCGGCTTATGAAGTCTTTTGATAAGCCACTGCAGTGCTCTCCGCTTATCACGGAGGCTATTAAAGTTCGTGATAAAAAAAAATAATCGTAGATGATTGAACATGAACTTTTGAAATTCTTATCAATTTTCACCTTTGCGGTCTTGCTCACAAGTCATCATTCAGGGCCTCGACATTTTTAATTTTTCCTCAAGAAGCTCTCTCAGGAGTGAAACGCCCTCGTATTTGAAGGGGGAAGGCCATGGATACTTCAGTTAATTACATTGCAATTCTACGAAGTTTTACCTGAAAACTTTCTTCTTCGTTCGTTAAAAGCTGATTGTATGACGTAAGCAATTTCGTATGTCAGTGGCTGTTTAAGCTCCAAGCCCCCCCCCCTCCCTCCCAAGAGGGCGAGCTTCGTAAACTATCAATTTATTGGGAATTTCGGCAGATTACTAAGCTGATAGACAACAACTTCAAAAGTTTTTGGGTAAATAAATAGTTTATAAAGTAGATTCAAAAATTTGCGGAAATTTTACTCTTTACGGTGGAACATTTAAATTCTAGATGAGTTTTACTAGGATTTTTTCGCCAGGATGACCACGGAAATTTCTCAATGAGACATTCTGATTTTTCCAGGCGTTTCCTCCACCAATTTTTAGACAATAATCTGAATTTTGAGAACACGATAAGAATTCCTTTTAAGATGTATCGATCTTCCTCAAAGACAAGCTTAATATATGAGATGCGGCTTGTAAAAGTTTTCATTAACATAATTCATACATTGGGTGCTTCTGGGTTATTTTGCTGATCTATTTAATTGAAGAGCCTTTTCATTTCCATACGGTCGAATTTAAATTGAATTTGATTAAGTTAAATTATTCAATACAAAGGCAAAGACCGATTAGCATATCAAATCGGAATAATTTATGAAAGCGCTCGTTTGATATTACGCCTTCTTTCTCAGAGCATCCTAACTCGATTTCACTCTTTTTTCTTAAAATTCCAGGTATATCGCTAATTTCTGAGCTATGAACGATTCTGATGGAAATATGGTTCATTCAATCGCCGTGAAATGGAAATTCTGTCCAGAATTGCCAATTTGAAACGCGGTGTCCGAATTACTTGATGTGAAATGACAGAAAATAAACAAAATTAATAAAAATTGACTTCACCGAGCTTGCTTAAATCGTGTCAAATCACAATAAGTGTAACTAGCACATGAGTACACGGTAATAATCATCAGTGGCGTAAAGGGCACTGAGATAAGACGGTTGGAAATTCCAAAAATTGAAGATTTTATGATACGTATATTTCCTTGAGGGTAGACAAATTTGTGCCTTTTGATCCTGCACTGGAAAAAAAACTCAGGCTGTGAAAGCCGCACTTGCGGGCTATTAGACATATCGCCCGCGTTCCGGGCTCAGAGGCCGAAAATTCGGCTGTAGCAGCAGCCGTCAAATCTATGGCTCCAGCACCCGGAACTTTCGGCCTCTGAGCCCGGAACGGTCGGTGGGTCTACGCAGGGTGTCTACTAAAACAGGCTGATCAAAAATAAGTACTTTTACAGTACTTTTTCAGTATCTTATCAAGAAATTCAGTACCTCCTCCAACAGAAAAATTCCGTACTTTTTCAGTACCTCCAATTGATGAAATTCGAAAAATTTCAATTTCTCGCTCAAATTAGGACAAAAATGACAAAAAATGAAAAAAATGCCGGACTTTTCTGCGAAATTTCCGCACTTTTTCAGTGCTTCTGGACCACCATTAAAAAATCAGTATACTGCTTCCGGACTTGTAGAAACCCTGCATACCGTCCGCGTTCCGGGCTCAGAGGCCAAACATTTGGCTGTAGCAGCAGCCGTCAAAGCTATGGCTCCAGCACCCGGAACTTTCGGCCTCTGAGCCCGGAACGGACGCTATGTCAGTATAACCCGTAACTTTTTTTTCAGAGTGAGTTTCTTTCATAATTATACATGCAAACCCAAGGTGCATTTTTGTTCTTCTACATGCACTCCCTTTTAAACTTAGCTGGATACTTACGCCGAGCGACATAATGTCCGAATCGATATCGATGACGGTGAAATCGAGGTTCAGCAGGCCAATGGTTTCGGTAGCATCATTAACAGACGCGGTCATCTTGGGAGTCCAAACGATGACATCATTATTCGACACTGATCAATCATGGCTGCGGCAAACCGATATGACGTCACGAACGCATGCGTAACAGGAGAGGACAGAAGGATGAGGATAAAGAGGTCAGGTCAAGGACCTACGGGACAAAGAAGGGTGCGGTTTAGGTTAGGTTAGGTTAGGTTAGGTTAGGTTCCAGGGTGCGGTTTTGAAAGGCGTTTGCTTATTAGCAACCGACCAACAAGAACAAGGTTCCACCAGCCGTGAGGTCAGGTTAAAATGGTATCAAATTTTCAGAATTTATTGGTCCAAAAGCGATGAAAATTTGGAAAAATTTATATCCAAGTTAGACAAAAAAAAATAGAAAGCTGATGAGAATTCGGTCAAAATAAGGGCAAAAGACACGAATCTCACCGAGATTTGGAAAACAAAATCCGGTAAAAAATTGATTGAAATGATTAGATTTCAACAGTGGCGCGTTCAAAATTCAGAAGAAATGAGGTTAAAATGTTAGCAACCTTTAATTAAATTCGATCAAAACGGGAATACATTTCATACTAATGGCTCCATAGACGTCGTCAATCGTGATTACTTGTTTGCTTGAAAGTTTACACATTTTAAATTATGTATGTGATTGGTTTGCTGCTAGCTCCTAGTTTCTTATTTTCATTTCTGCCTTTTTGTTTCCTTGATAAACATTTCAATGGATCAGTAGACAGGGTACGAAATTTAGCATTTTGATACAAGTTCCTCTGCCAGAATTCCACGTAAAAACGATTCGCACGACGAGCAGAGGCGGATCCAGCAATTGGGCGACACCGGATTCCCTCCGTCTTAATCTGTGTTAAATAATCGATTCTTGTCAGAGCACTTGGCCCCTCCCATAATCGATATATTTTCATAGGTTTAAATGGAGAAAAACAATGTCACCAATTTGCTGGATCCGCCAATGACGACGAAAATTACTGAAATCAACTTCCAACTAAGATATTAACGTCTTTACTTCACATTGATCACGAGAAATTTGTATTCCCCGCTCACGAGAAAAACGACAGTCTACTTGAATCAAATTGCGCACTAAAGTACAACTGTTTTGGCTGGCCTCTTAATCGAGCAATGCTCCTCTTCATCTTGTGTTGTTCAAATGTGAACAGAGCCAGAGCACCGAAATTGAGGCCGCCGTACATTCATACCGCAGAGACTGCTATGATAACGTTTAGTGCGCTATTTGACTCACGTTGACTTTTGTTCTTCATCGGGATGTTTAAATTCACGCGTCAAAAAGCTTCGTGAGGAGTTAGTTCCGGTAATTTCAGTTGCGCGAATCGTGTTCTGCGTGGGCGAAGAATCATGTATCAGAATGGTTCAATTCGCAAATTGTATACTGCCGTGCTAAGGAAGAACGCCGTATGAGCCTTCAGACGTTGCCAAATTTCCTTCGATGAAAACCGAATTGACTAAGGAAATTGTGAATATTTTTCGCCCAAAATTTTCAGACAATTTGGTACGCAACTTAATCTAAAATATCCAAACATTTTAGGGGGAGAATATGCATGAATTTCGTCAAAAATCCATATTTTATCAGGTAAAATTTGACAACTCTCGAATGTTCATACGACGTTCTTCCTTGGCACAGCAGTATACTGGTCCACTGTCTGAAAAGCCCGGTACTTTCAGCAAAGTTAACTGAACTGGAACTAACGCCGCGCCGACTTCCACCTGCGGGATGCCCCGAAATGTGGGAAATTGACTGNGGGGGGGGGGGGGGGGAGTTCGGCTCGTCGATCACCCGACACTTGACAGGGAGACACGAGAGAGGTGACACGGTCAACATCGTCCGAGTGTCTGAGGCAAGGCAAGGGGGCAAAACTCGGGGGGCCGGGGACGACGACGACACTGTAAGGAGGGAGGAGACATGACGCGAGAAGTTCCCGGGCTCCCGTTGCCAACTGCCAACTGCCAAATACCAAAACAAACCTATTCCCGGTCTGGCCTGGGTGATACCTCTCGCGATAACGCTGCAATGAATAAACGGCCTTCCATCTCAACGATCTCGGCGTCAACGGACCCAAAAGCTGAGCACGGTGTCAACGATTATTGACGTCTTGATCGAACGAAGAGAACTGAGAACTGGTAGCGAGCCGGTGTCAACGAACCCGGATTCTGAGCGCGATGTCAACAAGCAGAATCGTTGGACTCACGCAAAGGACAATGGCAAAGGCAATGATTACAGTGTCAACGAATCCGAAGGCTGAGAACGGTGTCAACCAATCGTGATATCCTACTCAAGCGAGGGAAACTCAAAAGCGATGGGAAGTACGGTGTCAACGATCACGGTGTAAATAAATCTGAGACTGACCACATAGTCGAAGTTGATTGGCTTCGTGCTCAAGCGAGGGAAACTCAACACCGATGGCGAGCATGGTGACAACAAAACCGGCAACTGAGCGTTGTGCCAAACAGTAATCGACAGGCTCAAGAAAAGGAAATTTCAAAGGTGGGGACCATGGTGGACCAACGATCATGAATATAAACCAAGGATGTAAAATTGAAAAATACATTTACATTACATACACAAAAAGACGATCCTTGTGAAGTGGGCAAAACCGCTGAAGCTTTGTGTTCAAAGTGGTGGAAAGTACTTCGAAAAACAGCCGAATGTTGAGTCAGCCGTGTCATCCGATGAAGAAGCTCGGAATTCGTCAATTTCCGTAAGATTTAGCAAGTTTCTCCAATGAAAACACTCAATTCTCATTTAACTTTTTTTTTCTTGACAAACATATTTGTTGCTAAAAATCCTGGAGGCGGTCACGCTAAATATCATTTTTAAAACCCTGTATCTCTGTCTTTTTTTGAGCTAAAGAGTTGTTCTTTATCTTGTTTTATTGGCAATTACGTCTACTTTAAGCACACACAAACTGCAAATCGATAGCTGTTTTTGTTCGCTCAAAAACCGGAAATGTGCACAACTTTTTGAACACCCTACGTACATCCCGCTGGGATCCTTCCGTGTTTGTCCTCTCGCCATAAAGGTACTTTTCTGATGTCTATCAAGAACGCATCTTAGTTCACAGCAGTTGTCACGGTTGCTGGATATCATTTCCGTGGAGTTAGCTCAGAAATTGGTTCATGGCGCACCCGTGGCTCATTCGCGGTCTCGCACGGCATATTGATGAGATTGCATCGGCGCCGCGCAGCGCCGCACTTCATTTTCATGCCGCCACTCTGACATGTTTATAAGCCAAACAAGATCAACGCGAGTTCTGTCGTGCTAAGGAAAAACGCCGTATGAACTTCCGAACGTTGTCAATTTCTTCACGACAAAATATTCGGTCTACGAAAGGAATTTAAATACTCCCTGTTGGAATTTTCTGATATTTTGATCAAATTGTGAATAACAAAATCAAAGAAAAATATAAATTAATTTTGGAGGAAATTTAATTTTTATCGGAATAACTGTGGCCACGTCTAAAAATCCCTTTTCATTCCAATGTCACGTGGTTACGAACCGCGCGAGTTAAACTCGAGCACTGCCATAACGAAAAAACTCCGCGTGATTTGGACGTTCACGAATTTATTCCGACAAAATATTGATTCAAGCAAAAAGATATGATTACCTACTTCCCGTTGACATTTACAAGTATTTCAGATAAAATTGTGGGTAAAATTTTGTGGGGGAAAGAGAAGGAATAACTTTGGCAACGTCTAAAATTCCCTTTTCACTCCCATGTCACGTGGTTACAAACCGCGTAAGTTGAACTCAAGCACTGCCGTAACGAAAAAACTCCGCGTGTTTTGGACGTTCACAAATTTATTCCGACAAAATATTGATTCAAGCAAAAAGATATGAGTACCTACTTCCCGTTGACATTTGCGGATATTTCAGATAAAATTGTGGGTAAAATTTTGTGGAAAAAAAGAGAAAAAAGGATGCATTAATTCCCAGGAGAACCCGAACCCAGGAGATTGGGCAACATCTAAAATTTCATGCGGCGTTGTTCCTGAGAACGGGAGAGCAAGCAGATCGGGCGTGCAGAAGACAGAAATTGGTCGATTCAAGGCTCTCGCAAGACGTCTCTGGCGTAAGAGCGTATCCTGATTCCCGCACGAGCTGCAGAAAGCATGGATTTATAGGTAAATCAGGGCTCACGTTGAAATTGAGTTAAGCCTTTACGTCAGAGGAGCGACGACCGACGAGGACTGTGGCGGCACACACTGTAACGAAACATAGGATTGCCCGGTCATGGACTTCCTCCGCAACTTCTTTCCGCTATATCCTTCGATGTTTATGGAATTTCAGGTCCAAACTATGTGTTCTCGAAGCATTTTCATCGCAGAACCTGATTTTGACCTTAGTTTGGTCGATTTTCACACGGAAACGCATGTTTTTGGGTGTTTTTATGAAGTATTGCTCAGGATAGTAGAAATTAAGGTGTATTCGTAGATTTTCTCTCCAGTTTCTCTCAACCGTTTCACTCCCTTTTCCAAAATTCCAAGTTAAATTTCACGTAGTCTGAAGTATTTTTATCGTAGAATTCGATTTTGACCATAATTTTATCGATTCATCGACGCAAACATTACATCACATCAACATTAAGGAAGAAGTATCGGATACAATAAAATTATACTTTAATATGTATGATTACTGTGCAGTTATTTCAAAGTGGAATAATTAGAACGTATTGAAAGAATAGGAAATTAAAGTAAACCGTCAGTTCATGAAAAAACTCTATACTTATTCAGTATACGGTTCGCTATTAGAACACAGTTGACGTAAAAAAACGGTTGGAAGGCCTATCTAATCATCTTATTCGCTGTCGTCCGTTCCGCCATCGTCCATCGATTCCTCTACTTCCTCTAAATCTCTTCGAGAAGGTCCTCTTCGAAGTTGATGTCACTGTCATTATTGCTACGATAAAGGACTAGAAGTGCAGTAGCCTTATGAGTTTTAAGATTTTGCGATTAAGATTTTTGCGTTTTTATTAATGTTATCAACCATGTACAACTGTTTAATGTAAAACTGATTATTTGATGCATTTCCACTTATCTCTTCGATTGTTTTGG